CCCCCCTTCCCCGCGCCCGGGGGCGTCGGCGGCGCCCGAGGCCCCGCCGCCGCACCGAGAGGGCCGACGCGACGTGTGGGCCGCGCCTCCCCCGCGGCTCGCAGGCCAGTTCGAGTACCTCGGCAAGACCATCTACACGCACGTCATCACCGACGCGTACGCGACGCGCGTGCACGACCCGCGCTCGTTCGACGGCGTGAGCCGTGACATCCTGCGCCGCTGGGCCTACCCGCACGTTCCCGACTCGAACGGGCTGCCCGGCGCGGCGTACAAGTGCGGCCGCGGCGGCGTCTACAAGGAGCGCGGCGTCTCGCTCGCGCGCTCGTGCGTCGTCGAGGGCGCCTCCGCGCTCGGGGCGGGCAGCAGCGTCGGCGAGCGGAGCGTGGTGCGGGCGAGCGTGCTTGGGCGTGGCTGCTGCGTCGGGAGCGGCTGCACGGTGGAGGGGTCGTACTTGTGGGCCGACGTGCGGGTGGGGGAGGGCGCGGCGGTGCGCGGCGCAATCTGCTGCGACGGGGTGGTGATCGGCGCGGGCGCGGTCGTGCCGAGCGGCTGCCTGCTCGGCCCTGGCGTGGAGGTGCCCGCGGGGGCGGTGCTGGCGGCGAACTCGCGCCACACGGCGCTCTCGCGGCCCGAGTTGCTCAAGCTGGCCGAGGAGATGGACGACGACGACAGCGGCGACGAGGCCGACGCCGAGCGCGGCGCCGACGCCGACGCGGACGCGGCGGGCACGCTGTGGAGGGTTGTGGCCGCGGGGGCGATGGGGAAGGGTGGTGGTGCGGCGGCGTGGCCGATCTCTGGCGAGCTGTCCGAGCCCGAAGACGACGAGGTCGTGCCGGAGGACGAGGTCGTGCCGGGCGAGACCTTCTTCTCGGAGGTGGAGGCGACGATGCAGCGCGGCATCGAGGCCGACCACACCGTCGAGAACGTGGCGCTCGAGGTCAACAGCCTCAAGTTTGCGCAGAACCGCACCTTTGCGGACTGCCTGCAGCCGCTGCTGCTCACGCTGCTCTCGTCGCTCCAGTTGTCGACGCGCACCAAGAAGGAGCGGCCGCGCGAGATCAAGCGCTGCCTCAAGCGGTGGGGCGCGCTGCTCGGCCGCTTCGTCCAGTCACAGGCGGACCAGGACGTCCTCCTCGCCACCCTCATCTCCGTCGCCACCGAGAGCGACGCGCTCGCGGACGTGTTCCAGCACGCGCTGCACGCGCTGTACGAGTGCGACGCGTCGGCGCGCTCCGAGGGGCGAGGGCGTGCCGCGCGGTGGGAGGCTCCCCTCAGCCAAGAGAGCTCGTGCGCCGTAGGTCCTCTCGGAAGAGGCGATTCTGCGCTGGGCATCGGCAGCCGAGGCGGCGCCGTGCGGCTCGCCCACGCGCGCGCTCCTCGACTCGGCCGCGCCCTTCCTGACGTGGCTGCAGGAGGCGGAGGAGGATTCGGAGGAGGACTGAGAGGCAGGCGGGATAAGTCACTACTCCAAGCAGGAGGTCTGGCTCTCATGCAAAGTGACTCACGGTCCATGCCGCTGTGTAGAGCTGTAGAGCCCGCAATAAAAGCCGTAGCGCTGGTCTTTGATATAGCCGTACTTTGAGAGATTGAGACAATCATCTTGAGAGATGAGAGCATCAAAATACAAAAAACTTCTGCCACACCCCACACTTGGACTTGCACTTCCCGCAGCACATAGACCTAGAGAGTACTATACTAGAGTGTGTCTACCACTTGGGCTAGTTCCAATTCACCGCTCTGACACGCTAATCTTGAAAACGCGTCCAACGGAGCTCCGTGTTGCTCCCAGCGCCCTCCCCCGCGCTCCCTGCGGCCATGGCCGATGATGCTAGTATGATAGGACATCTGGCTACCGCGAGAGCGACCCAACTCGTCGACATCGTCCGATGATGGTGCCGCAAAGTCAGCCTTCGGAGGCTATCGTGGGGTCGAGCCGGCAGTAGCCGTGACATGTGGTTCCACCACCCCTCGTAGGCTTTGCCTCTGACCGCCACCGTTCCCAGGCTACCTAATGGGATGGAAAGGAAGGCTGGGCGAGCGTATAGAAGCGTGCTCGACCTCGACGTGGCAACCTGCAAGGCAGCGCTGGCGGGCGCGATGAGCGTCGTGCCACCTGACCCGAGACGGGTCGCAGGCGTCGTACCTAGCGCGTCGAGACCGTGTCCTGATGTGATCTGCACGGGTGAGTCACGTCGGCGTCAAAGGAGCGACGTGCGACCTGTCAGAGCTTGCTCTCTGATCTCAGCGGCGTCGAGTCGTCTCCGGTGGCGACAATTCGGTACCTCCCCAGGACGCGCAGAGGCAGCTGCGATCCAGCCGAGTGGACGGCGGCACACCGCGCCACCTGCTGTGTGCCGCCGTCTACTCGGCGGGGTCACAGCTGCCTCTGGAAGGCACCGAGAGGTACCAAATGGCGCAAATGAACTGGTTGGGTAGTAGTCTAAGTTCTGAGCCTCGAGGCTGAGCGGGTCTGAGTGTGACTAGTCACGCTGGGGTGCTTACGCGGTCTAAGATCAGCGAGAGCCTCTTACATCGGCTAAGTCGGCCGTGGCACAGCCTGGGGCCAAGAGGCTCCCACCGTGATCAACGATACGGCGCTAGCCCCCAAATTTTCTTCGCCTGCGGCGGGCGCCTTCTAATCCGGATCGATCCTCCTCATGCCTCAGCAATCGCCGCCTCAGCATCCTCCTCTTCCGATTCTCGTTGCTCTTCTTGAGCGCAATCTCTAGCCAAACATTTCTCACATAAATAGCCTCAAGCTCAAACAAACGCATGTCAGAGAAGCCTGTGTATGCTGGTCCTCTTTGAACGATCCGCGCGTGAGGTAGATCTAGCATAGGGCCTTGTTGGCAGCAGCCAGCTTGTTGCGCTGCTTCGTTGCGATGAGCTGATTGGGATCGCAGAAGTGCATGCCAAGCACCGCCACGATCTTGAAGCAGAACACATCGCAACCGCATCGTCCGCACTGCCATCGGCATGCCGCGCCCGCCGCTTCGCCGCAGCCGCCTTAAGACACGCATAGCGGCAGCACATGCTACGGTGCGCGTACTTGAGCAGGAGTTGCGCGCCGCAAGTAGCGCACTGGCCCTGGGACAAGGCGATACGGCCTTCGCGCCAGCCGACTCCCTGTTTCTCTTCTTCGTGTTGTCCCGGGATGGGCGACGGTGGCATACCGATAGTGGGAATGGTATACAATCGCCAACTGCACTGTGTTAGTGCCAATCCGCGCCAATCCCGTGCCTGTGTCGTGAGAGGGAGTTGTGTTGTAAAATTCTGTCCGGCTGTCGTCCAGGCGGGACGACCCTCACTCGACTGCCCAAGTCAGTGCATGCCGTCCGCGCCACGTGGGCTGCCATCGGCATACTCGCTCCGGTGGTGAGCCGGTGTGTGTGCCAGTCCGCGCCCACTTGTCGTGCCAGTGTGCTGTGAGAGAGGGGGTGGTATTTTAAGCGAAATCGATATCGAAAGTCAATGGATCCGAAAAACGGAAGAGTTATGAAGTCAGTCCGCAGCAGCAGCGCATCCGCGGGACGCAGCAGCCAGCAGCAGCTCCCCACACTCTCTCTGGTGTCTAAGAGATGCTGCAGTCTGTGGCATTGAGCTATGCCACTTTCCCGCGCCACCGCCCACCCTTCGTACGGCTGTGTGAGCAGATCGCGGCGGGACCTCGAAGGACTGCACGCGCGCCCGCGCGGCGCGGGGCCCAGGGGCCCAGCCCACAGCCATGATCGTTCACAAGAGAACGCACCCCAGAGTACGAGAGACCCTCCCCCATGGTTGCCACTGCGCCAGCTGTCCTTGCGCGCGGGCTAGGCCGCCTCCCGCGCCCTGGCCTTCGCAGCGGCAACTGACGCGCGCCTCGCCTTGGCTGCGGCGAGCGCCGCCTCTGCCGCCGCTACTGCCGCCTCGGCCGCCTCGGCCGCCTCCTCCGCCTCTGCGGCAGCCTCCTCCTCCTCTGCGGCCGCCACGGCCGCAGCCTCCGCCTCAGCCTGCCGGCGCGCCTCCGCTGCCGCCTCCGCTGCCGCCTCCGCTGCCGCCTCCTCGTCCTCCTCCTCGCCCTCCTCCTCGCCCTCCTCCTCGGCCGCCTCCTCGCCCTCCTCCTCGGCCGCCTCCGCCGTCTCCTCCTCACCCTCCTCCTCGCTCGCCTCGCCCGCCGCCTCTCCCAGCGCCTCCGCCAATCCCTCGACCGACGTCTCCGGCGTGATGCCGAACCGGATCCTGTCCTCGTGGAGCTCCGCGAGAAGCTTGAGCAGCCCCTCCCTGTCCAACGGCGCGGGCTTGGCTGCGGCTGCCTCTGCCGGCGCCTCGGACTCCTGCGACGGCCCAGCCCCGCCGCTCCCGCCGCCCTTCTTCTTCTTCTTGCCCTTCTTGCCCTTGGCGCGCTTCTCCGCTTCGACCTCCGCCAGCAGCTCGTCGGCGTGCCGCGCCGCCTCCTTCTCCGCCGCCGCCCTCTCCGCCGCCCTCTCCGCCGCCCCAGCAGCCCACGCCGCCTCCTTCGCCGCCTTCTCCGCCGCCGCCTTGGCCGCCGCATGCTCCTCGAGGGCGCGCACGCACTCGGCGTGGCCCTTCTCCTTGGCGTACTGCAGCGCGGTATTGCCGCTCGAGCGCAGCGTCATGTCAGCGCCCGCCCGCAGCAAGCGGAGCACCACGGCGGGATGGCCGTTGTCAGCGGCGAGCACTAGAGCGGTGTCGCCGTCGTTATCCTGCAGGTTGATCTCCGCGCCGCGCCGGATCAGCGTGTCGACACCCCGCTCGTCGCCATCGTAGGCGGCGTTCATCAGCGCAGTGCAGCCGTTGCTGAACTTCTGGTCGATCTCCGCGCCGTGCCGCAACGCCAGCTCGACCAGCTTCTCGCGGCCGTTCCCGGCGGCGAGAGTCAGCGCGGTGCCACCACCGCTGTTGGTCTGCAACGAGATATCTGCACCGCGCCGCAGAAGCGCCTCGGCTAGCTCCTCGTGGCCATTGGCCATTGCGACCATCAGCAGCGTCACGCCGCTCACAGGGCCGTTCGAAAAGACGTACCCGAACCTCTCGTCGACCCGCCCGCCGCCGTCGAGCCACTCCAGCACCGCCGCCTCCTCGTCTCGCCGAGCCGCTAGCACGACCTCCTTTGGCACTGCCTCGCTGCCCGGCGTGGCCCCCGCGCCCTCGCCGCTCGAAGCAGAGGCCGCGGCACTGGCTCCCGCCTCCGCCTCGCCTGCGGGTGCGCCGCCCGCCCCTGCGCCGCCCGCCTCGGCCGATGGCGCCTTGCTCCGGCCCGCCACCTCACCGAGATACGTCCTGAAAGCCTCGACGCACTCGGTGTGGCCCTCCTCCTTGGCAATCTGCAGCGCCGTCTTACCCGCCGCAGTGCGCAGCGCCATGTCTGCGCCCGCGCGCAGCAGGCGGAGCACGACGGCAGGGCGGCCGAAAAAGGCGGCGCCCGTGAGCGCAGTACCGCCGAGATTGCACTGCAGGTTGATCCCTGCGCCGTGCCGCAGCAGCATCTCGGCCACGCGCTCGTGGCCTTTGGCGGCGGCGGCCATCAGCGCGGTGACGCCGCGCTTGCGGTCCTGCAGATTCATCCGTGCGCCGTGCCGCAGCAGCATCTCGACCACCTGCACGTAGCCCGAGAGGGCGGCGACCATCAGCGCCGTAATGCCCTCGCTGTTTTGCGCGTCCGCCTCCGCGCCCCGCTTCAGCAGCAGTTCGACCATCTCTTTGTGACCGTGTTCGGCGGCGATCAGCAGGAGCGTCCAGGCATGCACCCCGCCACGCACGCACGTCGCGTCAACCCGCCCAGCCCCGCTGAGCCACAGCTGCACCTCGTCGACCTTGCCGTCCTGAGCCGCCCTTGCAATCCTCTTCGGCAGCGCGAGCGGCGCAGCAGTAGCCGCCGTTGAAGCGTGTCCGCGCCGGGACGCGGCCGAGCCAGCCTTCGTTCTGCTGGGCATAAAACGGGCGGGATAAAACGGGCGGGGTTGCGGATCGACGTCTCCCGCGCTGGGCTTCGAAACAAGAATTCGAAGTGTCGGTCCCTCGGGCCAGTTGGGGGGGGCAAACCCAGCCCGCCCCCTAGAGCTCCAGGTAAGGCCCAGGTGTGGCCTAGGGCATCAGAAGGGACCAAGAGGAGTCCAGTCTGAGCCATAGAGCCCATGTCTTTGCCCCCGAAGGTCGCGTTCAAATGCCCGGAACGGCCGTCTCAGAGAGAGAGAGATTTTTAGCAATACCGTCTCAGTGCGGCCGGCGCGATCACCGAGCTGTGACGCTCAGGGAAGCCCGATGAGGTACTGGTTTCTTTGCCCAGGGCTGGCCTACGGCCCGTCGCGGCCCGTGCTGGATCAGCTGAGCAAGGTTTGTCGACGCCCACGGCGATCCGCCCAACATGCAGTTTAAAG